CCTTCTTTCGAATGCAAAGAACAAATCATCTATAATCACATAATAATTGGCCAAATAATTATGGAAGCATTCAAATCATATAAATCAAACATTTGTCCAATCGAAACTATTGTTGAATTAATGAAATAATGGAAATTTAAATTATCAAAAGGTTCATCAAATTCCTAATGAACAAAAACCCTAGCCTATAATCATCATTACAAAATCAAGAAATTGAAAAGATGAAATTAAAAGATAATAAGAATACACCCGTATGGAATTTCTTCAATCTGTGTGTATAATCTTCAATCCCGTCTCGAGCCCCGTGTGAAATTGAATCCAAAATCAAGTTTCTTGCCTCCAATTTTGGTCTCTCCCTTCTCCCTGGTCGTTCCTCCCCTTCATATGATGAATTTTTGGTATTTATATCGCGTCCAAATTAAGTAGGAAAGGAGTTTCAACCAAAACGAAAAACTACGCCCGAAGCTTCAAAAATATACTATGCGACTGCATAGAAGGAATCTATGCGGTCGCATAGATCAAATGTTTTTGGCTCATTGAACTCCTGAAACCTTCTATGCGACCGCATAGAAGGTTACACTATGCGGTCGCATAGAAGTAACCATCTATGTGGTTTGTTCAATTTGGTCCCTGAATTTCTTTGTTGCTTCTCTTGACTTCTTTCTTCGATTTCTTCATTTTTTCAACAATTCTTATCTTCCAATTGATGATCGACACTTTCAAATATTATGCCACTTATTCGGCCCATCTTTTGAGTATTTGCACTTTAGTCCTCCAACTTTCAATTATCTTTATTTTAGTCCATCTTCCATTCTTTCTTCCTCCACTTGTTTTGCTTTGTCATTGAGCTCATACTTGGCATGTTTTTACTCTCGTTTTGCATTTAGCTCAACTTTTCAATATTTGCACCTTTGGTCCTCGAACTATCAAATTGTTGCGTTTTGGTCCTTCTCGGCTCTTTTCTCCTGAATTCCACAATTTCCAATGAATTACCTACAATGCATGAATTTAACTGGATTAAGTCACAATTCAACCATTTTATCCATGTTTAAGTCATGTTTATGAACCAAATAAGTGTGTAAAAACACACTTATCAAACTTAGCACCAAATGTGATAAAAAACTGTGCTAATTCATATCGGTCCTCATAATACTTCGGATCAAAATGAAGTCATATGTCTCCAAAAGAGACTCATCTTATGTCTTTACATGTCATATCACAATAATATTATAATAAAAAAGACATATGTCACATGCATGCTCAAAATAGTTTATGGATAGGGAAAAAAATTTTATTTTATTTTATTTTATTGTCTGAAGGGGCTATACCCGAAAACATATAGGTTGCCTACGTATCCCCGTAAAGGGATCAAGCCCAAAACATAGTTCTTTACATAAATAACTCTCAGTAACCAAAAACATCAGATGTTTTCACAATACTCATATTAGTAACATGTGTTTTAAAGACTTTTGGAGCAAGTCCCTTAGTCAAAGGGTCTGCAATCATTACCTCTGTATTGATATGCTCTATTTTCGTCTGCCCTTCCTTGACTCTGTCCCTAACCACCAAATATTTGATGTCAATATGCTTTGATCCACTAGAACTTTTATTATTCTTTAAAAAGAATACTGCTGCACTGTTATCACAGTAGATGGTGATCGGTTTTGAGATGGAATCAACAACTTTCAAGCCAGATATGAAATTTCTTAATCAAACGGCTTGGACTGTAGCCCTATAACACGCCACAAATTCAGCTTGCATAGTGGAAGATACCACTAGAGTCTGTTTAGCACTTTTCCAAAAAATAGCACCACTAGCTAATGTAAACATGTAACCAGAGGTTGATTTCAAATCATCTTGACATCCAACAAAATTAGAATCTGAATATCCTACCACCTTAAGATGATTTGTACGCTGGAATGTAAGCATATAACTTTCAGTTTTCTTCAAATATTTCGTAACTTTCTTAGCTGCTTTCCGATGCTCATCCTGGATTAGACTGAAATCTGCTAAGGACATTAACTGCACAGACTATATCCGATCTAGTGCAAACTTGAGCATACATCAGGCTCCCCACAGTACTAGCATATGGAATCATCTTCATAGACTCCCTTTCTAGCTCATTCCTTGGACATTGAATTTTGTTAAACTTATCTCCTTTTATGATAGGAATATCACCAGGTGCACAAAGGTAAGAATTAAATAACTTAGAGAGAAATAAAATAAAATTAATTGGCAAAGGTAAGAATTGGACTACTACTCTTTAAAATTTCTTTCGTTAAGGTTACAATTGGACTCATGTCTCAAAATAATTCACGATTGTATTGGAGATGTTTTAATATCTAGTCAATAGACATCAATACTATGTAAACTAAAAGTTTCAATTTAGTCCTTGTTTGGTATTAATTAAAATGATATTTTAATTTAAGTAAAAGTTAAACAATTAATATTAATCACATATTTAATGGGTTTTACAACTTCTTAACTATATATTTTATCAATTTTTATCAAAATCTACTAAAAATCTAATTTTAATCCCTACCAAACGGATACTTAATTGTTACATGTAAATCAATTAAAAAAGCAATAGAAAATAATATATGATGGTTAGCGATAGGAGCTGCAGTTGATCATTGTAAAATTGGGCCAGGTGAAGTCTCTTTAAACAGGCCGTGAGGCGGCCCATTTAGAACACAATGGAACTTGTAAACCCTAATTCAAAGTTGCAAATTTCCTCCCCTCCCTCGTTAAACCTCTATAAAACCCTGCGCCTCCTACACGATTTCTTCTACACAACATAAAACCTCACGGCTTCAAGTCTCCTGCAAACACTAATCAATATGGAATTCTGGGGTAAGCTTTCCTTTCATCGCTGCTCTATCTTTTACTTCAATCTGTGTATTTTTTCATTACGTTTTTGTTTGTATACAAATACAATTATAAAGTATATTATATTAGCTTTGTATTTGATATATGATGATTATGGAACTGTTCTTCTTTTAGCTTTGTGTTCAATAGAATGTAATTTTATTTATTTTTTTTATTAAAAGAAAGTGTGTATGGCTTTTAAGCTTATAGTTTTGGGATTTGGAGCATGTGCTAAGTTTAAATTCTTGTATTAGTAAAAGACAGTAAGTTTACGGTGAAATAAAAGGATAATTAAGTTGTTCAAATGAAGTAAAACTTTTTTTTAACTTAAAGCAAAAATAAAAAATGAAAAAAGAAGTCTTCCAAACCTTTTTTTTAATTTAAAGTGCAAATTAGTAAACTTTTCTTAGGCTTAGCCAAACGTGTTTCCCTTTCAACTGTGGCGGAAAGTGGTTTATTCTTTAAAAATAATTATCTTCTTTTTCAGTTCCCTACAAACAATTTGATATAAATTATGTTTGTGACTGCTAAATTTGGCCTATTTGGTTGATTTCATTCTTTTGATCTCACAGGTCCTGATAAGCATATGTTTTTGTTGATTTCATGCTTTTCTCTGTTTATTGAACATTTCAATTTATCTCCCTATAGTTTAAAGTCCAATAGGATAAATTCAATGGCTTAATCTGAGTAATAGAGGATATAGCTTGTCAATGAAGTAGTTTATATTTGCATTTTATTCCTGCTGATCAAATTGTTCGTGTGCTTTCTCTGAATTTTAAATTTTCCCAATGCGTGCAGGAGTTGAAGTTAAAGCTGGAGAATCACTCAAGGTTCAACCTGAGTTGGGCAAATTGATTCATATTTCACAGGTTGGAGTTTTTTATAGTACTTTTATCAAACGCCGTGATTTATTCCTTACTTTATATTTTTGTAATGAGGTCTTAAATGTTGACTTGTTTTGCAACTATCTCAGGCAGCACTAGGGGAGGTGAAAGATGTGAAAGCAGCCAAATGTATCCCCGTTCGTATGAAAATTGATAAAGACAAGTATGTTATAGGAACTCTGTCTGCAGAGGATAGACCTCAGGTGATGTTTGACTTGGTGTTTGAGAGGGAGTTTGAGCTCTCTCATGACTGGAAAAATGGGAGTGTCTACTTTATTGGCTATATCGCTGATGATCAAATTCAAGGTAGATATCTTTTACTTCTACCAATTATCATCGTTATTTTTTATGCGTTGTTCCATGTGAGTGTGATTCTGTGAGTTATCTCTAAGAGAATTGTTTGTTTTTACTTCTTTTTGGGCTTGGTTTTGCTGAAGATGTTACAATGTATTGCGTATTGTACGGACAACACGGTCTTTATCGCGTACATGAGATATGAGAACTTTCTTGGGAATTTAATGTTTGATGCTTTCTTTAAGTTTTCTGTGTATTTGGAGGGCATTTGCATGTTGTCTTTTGCATAATTGTTTTAGTTTGATAGTTGCAAGGCGTGATGCAATTTTGTATCTCTGCCTTTTTGTCCCTTAAGGAAAAGAAGGGCTGTTGCGTTTCCATTTATCTTGAATCAAGTTAGGTGATGGCTTCGTCTGTATAAGAAAACTATAATAGTTAGTGCTCGTTTGGGTTTCATTATAACTTCCTGATAATTTGAAGTCGAAGTCAACCTTTAATGTTGACTACATATTCATAACTACTGTTCACTTATCATCTACACATTTCGCATGATCCGTTAGTGATTTTCATTATAATCTTGTTATAATTTTTCCACACTTAACTTTGAAATGTTGGCATGTTTTGAGATGTGCATTACCATAGATAAAGGATATTAGTTTTTTTATTGTCTTGTTTTGATGGCACTGATGCGATCATCCATTTTTTCTAGATGAGCAAGATTTTTCAGATGAATCTGATGATGAGGAATTTCCAATTGAGGCTCTTGAAAATGGTGGTATGTCAAAAGTCTCTCTCTCTCTCTCTGTACTTCATGACTTTACCTTAAATGCTGAAATGCCAACAGCTCAAGTCCGTTGGTTTCTTTCTGTATAACATCAGATGTGCAAAATGAGAAGTTACAATTGAAGTTTGTTGACTTCTCAGGTAAACCCCAGCTCAAGGTTGAGGACTCAAAACCTACAAAAGAGAAGGCTGCTGCTGCTACTAAGACTGAAACTAAGAAAGAAGAGGCCCCTGAATCTGATGTCGAAGAAGATGAAGACGATTCGGACGATAGTGGATCTGATGATTTATCAGGAGGAATGGTATGTCTCCATTCTCATTGCTCGTAACTGAGTTATTCACGTGAATCTCTTTTTTTTCTTCCTCTAGAGATCATTCATTACAAGTTCTTCAACCCTTTTGAATATCATGTTAGCGTTTACTTATTTTTCTGTCCCACTGAATTGAATAAATTGGATCTTGTCTAGGATTCGGAAGACTTGATGGATGATAGTGATGACTCCAGTGATGAAGAAACTCCAAAGGTATTTGCACTTGCTATTTGAATGATCTAAAAACATGTTATACACGACTTGTGTTAATTCGTTTCCTGTATTAAAGGCTCAACAGCCCAAGAAAAGGCCATCTTCTGTGTTGGAAACTCCCGTCTCCAACAAAAAGGCAAAACTGGCTACTACTCCTAGTAAAACAGGTAGCTATATTTTTTTATATTCTATTCGAGATTTTAACATGATTTGGTTGTCCTAATAAGGATTCTAAATTAATTAAATGCTTGTGTGCAGGCAATAAAAGCGTTCACACTGCGACTCCTTACCCGTCAAAAAAGGCTGGAAAAGGCAACAAAACTAAGTAGGAGACGAGGAAATTGATATTCATTAAAATTAAGAAATATATATGGATTATTGTTTGCTGGAATAGAAAAGAGTATCCAGATTCTCAATTTTGTCTGAAATTTTCCTGATTATTTGTCAGAGATTATATTTTTACTTCTCGGGCCGGAAATTTTATTATTTTGTGGAGTTACTTAAGAGCTCTCGTTTATGTGCGTTTTAATCCATTGTTAATCTGCAATCTCATTCAACTGCACAAACACTTTCATTGTCCTTGAAAGTCTATTTTACTACGGGTCCATTGGATTGGAGTGAATTCATTGTAAAATGTCACATCCGAATAATTCGTTTTTTACTTTAGTTGAAAGTGGAAACGTCACGTTCATATAGTTTTGATGATTTTTTCTTTTCCAGCTTACATGGAATTGGTTTTGACTTTTCCACAAACGACCCTACATTCTTTAATTCAGCTATTTATTAATCTACCGCATCATTTATAGTTGACGGGTAACTTTTCTTACCAGATATTTTTATATTACTCTCTCGTTTTTCCTTCTACTTTCTTTATTTCATATTTTAATTCAAACTAATGAAGCATTAATTATTTTAGGAGATAATACAACAGCTAAATCTAAAATAATACAACAGCTAAATTAATGTTTTCAATCCAGAACGAGCCTCGTTAAAACTGGTAGTAAATAACAGGGGCGAGTACAGTATGTAAATCATTATAAAGCATCACACTTTAAAAAACATTCATACAAATTGGTTCAATCAAAATAACTAAAATAATAAGACATCTTACACATAAAATAGAACTGTCCAATAAAAGAAACGAACTATACAGCTGCTTCTAACCTGCACTTCTGCAAGGAAAACAAAGAGTTGAGAGTTTGGGACCTTGACAACTTCCAGCACCAATGGAGTTACTCACCTTTCCAGCTCTGCCCTGCAAATTCCTGTCAAACCAAACCTTCTGACTTGCACCGAGACACCTGTACACATGATTAAAATAAGTTCTCTATCCTTATAAGCAGACAACCTGGACCTGCAACACTCAAATATAAAGTGAGATCTGTAACTTCCAGAAAGAAAATTTGAACCATAGATCAGTGAGAACTCACTAGCCTGGTTGTGTTGGGCTTGACTGCATATACAAGCAATTACATATAACAAAGGAGACGTGTACCTATTTAAACTTTTAATGCAAATTGCTTATTAGAGCATGAATCGCTGATGGTTCAGGTCAGTTTAAAAAGTAACACTAATAAACCTTGATTGCAAGAGACGATGTTCAATACAAGTGCATAATTCAAAGGTAACTACACAAGTAGTATTGAGTGACATTTGCAATTGTTAGTAATTGAGATACAAGAGACGTTGACGCATTCAGAAGTTATTATATCAATAACCATCCAAGCTAAGTGGTTAACAGTGTAATGAAGAGAAAAAATTGTCATGGTCATTCATTTTTAATTGTAAGATTTCTATAAAAACCATATGAATCCCACCACTTCTTTCAAGAGACAGCATCCGAAAGTAATGACTGTCTTCTAGTCAGACGAAAATCTTAATATATTATATTTCATCAAATAATCTTATTTAACAGTTATGAACTCAGCATATTGTTTAATATTTTCTCAATTTCAGTAACAAATTCGTATTAGATACAACATGTAAAAAGTAGAGTATCACAAAAGGAAACAGGGAAAAAAAATTGCTTATTATTATGATTTTCGTTCGCAAGGCGGCTATGAAGACCAATTGAACAGAATGGAACAAGAATTTTGGGTGTTTTGCATAGAGAGCAAAAAACTAGCTTCTTTTTCAAAATACAGGTAATGAAAAACCACAAAGGTGCCTAAATAGGTTCCCTATTTATAAGGAAAGGAATAGCCAGTGTGCATACTGAACATAATAGGTATGGCAGCAAAGATGAAGGGGTACAAATATAGAAACGGTGCAGATCAGCCACAAAAATACTACAACAACATAAGTTGGAAGGGTGTATTTACTTCAGTTTATGCAGAGGCGGATACGGCTTCTATTAAAAGCTCTGAGACCACTGTTAATCAACCATTGGCAGGAGATTTCAAGGACCAAGCAGATGCTGAAAGCAATGAGTTGAAGAATGGAAGTTCAAAGGAAAAGCAAAACTCAACCTACAAAGTTTGTCAGCAAGAAGATGCTGCAATGATCATTCAGTCGGCATTTAGAAGATTTCTGGTCAATACACTCACAATATATGCATCAACTTTATGTGGAGATTTACGCGTAAATAATCATTGTAGTATTGTAATATATGCAAATGTTTGATGATGCTTGTACAAGAAAATGAATCTGCGCATATACTTGGAAAGAAGATTAAACAAGAACTAAGAGAATGCTTATCTCCATAAATAAATGTTGTTTCTTTAAGTGAAGTATTTTCTGGATACTCCATTTGAGTTGTTTGAGTGCTTAAAATTTCAGGCCCGACGAGCTAATGAAGGAATGAAGTTGCAAGATTGTAAGGCAGATCCTGTAGGAAGTCCAAGTAGAGAGTCTATGGGCACATCAATTGAAGTTCAAACTGGAAATTCCGACATTTTCTCATCCCAAGAAGAAAGCATGGCTGTGCACCATCCAGCACGGCATAGAAGTAGAGCCCAAGTGCTCAAGCTACAGGTACAACAACTGGAATTTTAAAATGTAAAATCCCCCTACCCTTTTTCTGGGGCTATATCTTAGCTTATCAAATGCTAAAATATAATACCGCAGAAGGGACATACCACTGGACTATAAGATAATTGGAGGAACGTACTAAATGGCTAATGGAATTCAGTTTATCTCATATAATAGTATCTCGTGAATCTGATTCAACCAGTGATAGGGAAAATTTAGTGAAAGAACTGCTGTAGTTTTTAACGCAATCTGGACATTTGACACTGTTTTTCTTGTGCAAGGTGTGCATGATAATGCAGTCGATAACACCTATGACTTGTTGCTAAGTTCAATCTTATTGTATTGGACAGTATTAATGAAGTAAAAGAAATTAAAATACTGTCTACTCTTGTTGAGTACTACACATTGAATACACCTCTAACATTATTTTTTTTTCAGCAGCAAAGTTTTTGAACCGAAAGTATTAACCTAATGAAATTTATAATTTTACTGTCAACTTGTCCAGGAAGACTGGGATGACAGCACTGTAAGTAATGTTATATCAAAAATGAGAATTCAAAACAAGCTAGAAGCAGCAACAAGGCGCGAGAAGGCTCTGGCTTATGCTTTTTCACAACAGGTATAGACAAAGCAGTAGAAATTGGATGTATTGGAGAATAGAATGTGCACTGATTTTGTCTTTGCCTAATTTGTACGTAGTTAAGAATCTGCTCGAAGAGAAAACAAATCAAATCCAACAGTAACGAAACCGGCTTGGGCTGGAGCTGGCTAGAACGATGGATGGTGACTCGTCTGCTAGAAAGTACCATGACGGAAGACCAAATGTACAAGCAAATTGAGGCAGTTAGTGGTCACCAAACAAACGGGATGAGGAAGAGATTGCTTGATGTAGCAATGGAAGAGAAGGAGAGTTGTGGATCTAACGATGTCTCTCTACGCATTGAAGTCAGATCTGTAGCTGCGCCCAAGGATATCCCAAGGCCTACCAAGAATAGGATTAAGACAACGAGGAAAATCTCCAAACGAGATGCAGCATCTAGCTACCTCTGTCCAAGAGAATCAAAGGTACATCTTTCGGCTAAAGCAAAAATTGTCCAAAGAAACAAATGAAATTATATTTTTACCAGTTTTAAACCAAAAATGGAAGAAGAATGACTACCTGAGTTTTTATTCTCAATAAATTAAGTTCATAGTCCCATTACATGAGCCAGCACGTTGATAATAACCAACAATAGTAGAGATAATACTGCGTTCAAATACTAGAATAAGAACGTTCATCTTTCTTAAATATTTTCTTCTTCTTCTGTCTATTTACTCGTTTCTCATGATGTGATGAATATTGTTACAGGATAGCAAGAAAGTATGTCAACTTGTGGATGGAAAAGATAAGATGAAAAGGCCAAAGCAGACATGAAATAAAAGAGAGATGAAAAACTCGAACCCTACATCTCAAGTACCACCAGAGATTGAATAATTTTGGCAATTTGGGACTTCAAATCTGGGCTACTGTGTTTGTTTTAAATAAATTGTGTCAATGTGTAATGTCCTATGGCAACTTTGAGATCCCCTGGTATATTTCATTTTATGACTTAGAACGCCTATGTAATATGGCGGATCTAGCACCCAGCGAGCACCCTCGACCGCCTGTGCTGAATCTGCCGGTATTAAATTTATTTATTTATTATTATTATTTTTGTCAATGTTTTTGGATTATATCTGGTAATTCCACTTTTTTCAGGTTAACTACCATATTTCAGATGGTAAGGGATCCGTGTTGTAAGTGGGAGGTCAAGTTTTCGATCCTTACAAGAACAATCTTTAATTTAATTGATTATTTTAGTTTAATATTTATTATCATTTTGATTAAAACCAATGCAATGGGAAAAGATTCGAACCGTGATCTCAATGGAAATTGACAATAGTTGGACCATTGTGACAATCTGCGTGTGCTGTTAACAACTTTAGCATATATATAAGTTCAAAAATTTTGAAAAGGCTTAAAATCTCTTAGAAGTTCAAAACCAAATGAAAAAGCACATCGCTCAACCGCTCTCTCCTCTGTAGAATTTTAAAAATGCCTTACCACTTTTGCATTTGATGAATGTTATAATGAAATATAATGGTATATAATAATAGATATATTTAGTTTTTATTGCCGCCATTGTTTTGGACGATTAACGACCGTCCATGCTCACTCGAGCTCCTAAATTTGCCCCTGCGGCTATGTTGTAGTTAGCAGAAATCATCGTCCATAAATTAAAATAAATCAAACTTGATTTTTTTAGATGAACAATCAACAATGTTTATTGTAAAGGACAAGGGAATATTGCACCATTAGTCGACTTATGACCTTATAGCAACTTGGTCCTTTAACCTTTTTTTTTTTGGGCAGCATGTTCCGGATGTTTTAGTTTTTGTGGGTCATTGTCAATTTGGTTGTCAACAATGAACTTATGAGGATAAGATGAATAAACATTTAAATTTAAAAAAAAAAATAAATATAAAAGAAAGAAAGGAGAAAAAGAGAAAGAGAGAAAAAGAAAACACACTATTTGCTTTCTTCTTCATTTTTTTATTCAGAGAAAAAGAAAACATACAATTTGCTTTCTTCTTCATTTTTTTGTTCAAACCACCAAGAGATAAAAAAAAATGTATTAGAATTGAAGGGAAATAATAGAAATTACAAGACATGTACAATGCAACCTACTCCAATCATTGGAAGTACGAGTAAAAATAGGGTGGCCTTAAGATTTTGGGGTCTTAAGTCAAAATTTATACAGGGCCTTTTAGATATAAGTTAACTCTTGAAATATTTTCTAAAGTCCAGTCTTCTAACAATTGGAGTTAGAACATACGCTCCTCGACCTTCATATATCATGATTGTCTCTAATCAAATTTAAACACTACCTTTCCTTCCTTCCAGATGTCAAAAGAGCAAATTTAAAGTTAGCTCTTGAAATATTTTTTAAAATCCAATCTTTCAATGATCGGAAGTTAAATATGTTGTTCCACCTTCATATATCATAATTCACAAATGTCTCAAATCAAAATTGACGCCCAACCTTCCCTTCTTTCAAAATGCTAGAAGTGTAAATTTAAAATTTAACTCTTAAAAGTTTTATGAAAGTTTTAAATTACTATTATTGTAACATTGAATGTCTTTTAAAAAAATTATTTATAATCATTGTAAGCAACGTTAATTGCGAGTGGCCGTTTGATGTGTCATTTTTCAATTTACCCTTTGCTCTGCTATCATCTTATTCAAGAAAGTCAAAAGAGAAATGCTACATGAACTCTAGTGTACAGTCCTCTCACACGAATTTTTTAATCACTTTTGACCCCCTCTTATGTGAGAGGGGTATATACTCTAATGTACAGGTATACTTACCCAAGTCAAAAACCACGATTTTAAAGATTCACCGGCTTTTGTTGTGGGCGTCTTATAATCTACAATTATATAACACCACAAGAACTACACAACTCGAATAAAATGCTATTCTTTACTTTCAAGTGGAGCACTCGCCAAAAGAAATGTTCGCTTTAAGTAGCAAGTCCATCTTAAAATATTTTTTTAAACAGGTGAATCATATATCATTGCTTTGTAAGTTGTATTGTCATTTCATAGCTACATATTTGATTGTTAAAAAAAAAAAAAATCACTTACAATGATTATAAATAAGTATTAGTTTTTTTTTAAACATTCAATGTTACAATAATAATAATCTAAAACTTTCAAGAGTTAACTTTAAATTTACACTTCTAGCATTTTGAAAGAAGGAAAGGTTGTGCGTCAATTTTGATTCAAGACAGTCGTGGATTATGATACATGAAGGTGGATCAGTGTATTAACTTCCTAATTTTGAAAGATTGAATTTTAAAAAATATTTTAAGAGCTAACTTTAAATTTGCTCTTCTGGAATTTGGAAGGAAGGAAAGGTTGTGCATCAATTTGATTAGAGACAATCGTGATATATGAAGGTCGAACAGCGTATGTTCTAACTCCAGTTGTTAAAAGATTGGACTTTAGAAAATATTTCAAGAGTTGACTTTAAATTTGTTCTTCTAGCACTTTGAAGGAAGGAAAGGTTGATTGTCAATTTTGATTAGAGACAATCCTAAATTATGTGATATATAAAGTTGGATCAGCATTTGTTCTAAATTCCAATTGTTGAAAGAGTGCACTTTAAAAATATTTCAAGTGCACTTCCCGCTTTTTAAAGGAAGGAAAGGTTGTGAAACAATTTTGATTAGAGACAATTGCATGCATTCATGTACTCAATTAAAGTTTTTTTTTTTTTTTTTATCAAACTTTAGTTGGGGAATATAACATTAAGGCCCAGTTTTGTTCTACAGTAATTCAATTATGGAATTTCCTATAACATATACTCACTTTAATCTATTGAAATCAAATTCTAAATCCATCTCATACATCAAGCATAAAATCGTAGAGAATCACACCAATAAATAATTGAAATTGAAATTTAACAATTAGGTTAATTTCATGATAAATAAAACATGATTAAATCTATGCGAAATATAGTAAAAGTTAAATCAATCTCACGACAATGTTTGAAATTGAAATTCAATACATACTTCAATTATTCGATAGAAAGAACATGATTAAATTCATGAAAATCTAATATATATTAAACCAATCTCAAAACATATTCATAAGAACAAGAAACCCAAATTTAGAATTGTTTACCAATGGAAATCATATTACAAGCATGAGAAATGTTGAAATAATCAATACCAATCGAGTTCCTCCCTTACTTCACCAAGGATTTTCTAGCCTTCCATGGAGTTTCTTCGTCCAAAATGAGACAAAATTGACGTGAAGAGGAAGAATGGCGTTCTGGGTCGAGATTAGGGCTTTAAAACATGTGCCAAACAAGTTTCCTTAAGTGTTTGCGTCAAAATAGAAATTTGGGATTTCGCCCTCGAAAAATACCCATACGGTCACATGGTTATAAGTCATACGGCCGCATGGTTCAGCCAAAATGGCTCCAGAAGTTCTCGGAATGCAGCCATGGGACCTCATGTCTTTATAGCTATGCGACCACATGGTTGTCACCATTTCCTCCGTCGGATAACTTCTAGTATTTTAGTCATAACTTTCTCTCTTGATGTCCGATTGAGATGATTCAAGTTGTGTTGGAAAGAAAACTCAAAGAGCTACGACTTTGCTTCAGACATTATCTTCCAATTCGATAGTTTACCATGTCAAAAACGCGTCCCAATATAAGGCTGAAAATCGGTACATAACTTTTTCGATTGGAAATAGATGTGTGATCATATTTTGATCGTATTTCATCCACTTGACTTCTTTCCTTATCTGTTTGACCTCTAACACTCTCGAATCTTCATCATAAGATTATACACAAGTTTGGAGTATTTGCACTTTAGTTCTCGAACTTTCGTTTTCTTCCATTTTGCCCTTTTTTATTCCTTTTTTTTTTTTTTTTTTTCAAATTTCCACTTTTTCCATCAAATTGTGACCTAAATGAAAATATAAAAGTAATGAGTATATTTTGACATCAAATAATCATACGAATGCAACAATTAAAATGGGAAATTATCATATTTTATACTCTTATCAAGAGCTCGTGGGCTCTTAAAAAAAGGTAAATAATAATAATAATAATAATAATAATAATAATAATAATAATAATAATAATAATAATAATAATAGAGCTCATCGGCTCGTTACGGTGAGCATCTTTATCCAATAATAATAATAATAATAGAGCTCATCGGCTCGTTACGGTGAGCATCTTTATCTACCATATATTCTTCAGGATGCCATACTTGATTGTTGAGGAGACCTAAGAAAGCAAAAAAATGAGTCACTGCAATTATTTCCTCTCTTTGTGGACAGAAGATAATTAGACCCTCATGATATTCTTTTGCATCTGATTTGACATTCAGTATGCAGATCACTCAAATGGACACGAAATTTAGGAATAAAAAATAACTTTTTTCCTCCTTAAAAAGATAAAATACTGCCATTTTGCTTTTGAATGAACACAAGTTTCTTTTGAATGAACACAAGTTTCTTTGATGAACTGTCATCAACCATTCTACTAGTTACAAATAAATTTGGTGAATGTTATTCCAAATTGAATCTGGACATCAAAATATTGTTCACGAGCAATATGAGGTATTTACGATATTAAATATTTCAATATACATATTATTAATAATTCCAATACAAGTGATTAGAACCTAGAGTCTTTGAGTCTCATTTTATTGTACTGGAATCGTAGATTAAATTAGAATGTGTTGTTAAAAAATAAGAAAAAGTTTTTAGTTTGCATATAATATTATTTTATTAAAAAATATCCTGGGAGTCTTAATCCATAACCAATCCACCTTGACCCGAGTCGATTCAGTTTGATCAATTTTTTGATTTTT